ACTGCGTGACGCGCTTGTTTCACAAGTAGAATATACTATATTTGCCGCCTTCGGCGGTCGCGCGCTACTGCAAGCTCTGGTTAGAGCAAACTGGGTGGCGCTCAGCTCAGCCTGTCATTTAATCCTGCATTCCACCGCGACCGAATTTCTATTATGAACATTATAGCCTGTGGTCCCCAGTTAACCGCGCATGCCGACTGTAGGATTGAAGATGGTTTTTAAACGCTAATTTCGGCGTGTAGCTCGATGCACTACTGGGCCTCACCGCGTATTCAATATTGCTTCTCGCTTATCGATGAGATGCACCATTGGGCCACTCCGAGCTACGAAGGATTGACATCGTCAATTATATTTCGGCCAGCACAAAATTCTTGAAACAAATGCATATTTGGTAACCTTCTTGATACACGTTGTATACCTCTTTGAAAAGTGGTATACACAATACAACGTGTATCAAGCACTGCCGATGCCTAGTTAAACTCGTTCAAAAAGGATTTGATGCTTAAGTTACTATATCCAATTATAAAACCATTTTCCTCCAAGAAAAGAAAGATTCCAACTTAATATTCATCAGCAGCGCACAAATGGGTTGCGATAAATAATGAACGGAGCGTCCTCTGCAATAAAAAACATGACTGATCGGTTGGGGAAATATTCATATTAGAACAAATCCTGTCCCAACATTTGCTTAAAATATTGATTAGGGGTTCATATCATGAATTGCTTGGGTTAGTTCAATGATGTATGAACATCACCCTTGTGCAAAGTAACGATCAGTACTATTGAATATTGCTTATTAGGATGTAAAAGTTGTAATACATAATATATAATATAATACACGTCAAAAAGTTAAGTGTCTAGTAATTGTGTTTGTTATTATTAAGTTCCATTGAAATATTTGCTTAGTTCAAATTCCATAGTCTAGAGTTGAACTTTAGTGCTTAGTTAGGGATCCCCTTTCCTGTAGATGAAATTCTTAACTTTTTTATGAAATTTTAAAATTAAAATTTGACTTCATTGGTGACAACTTTCAACTTACCATGGGCCTACGCATACTACATACTACGTGATGTGCTTGTTTCATGAGCCGAATGGCAGGCGGGCGCATGCTGCTGCTTACTTGGCGGTAGCTTACGGTGCTCAGCCTGTCATTCCGCCGCAGCTTTATCGCTGTGTTTATGAATACTATAACTATCAGCCTGGGATCCCCAGGTAAGCTATCTGCAAAGCCAAAAAATCACATTTTCTCCCATAACTTCAAAGGGAAGCATTTAGGATGTTTTGTTGTTCATAACTCATATATAAATGTGCTAGTTGCGGTTATTTTGCGCCATTCAAAAAGTCACTAGCACATTCCTATCAAAATTTTAGAAAAATCAGTAAATATGAAAAACGAAAAATGTGCCTAAATTTGTTGTTTGGCTTTGAAGTCCAATAGATCTGAAGATAAATGAGGAAGAACATTTTTGAGGGCATCAAAAACTGCGCCAGAATTCAGAGAACAAGTTCATGTCAACCATCAAATCAATCCGATCTTCCCTGACTGACTTTTTGGTTAAAATAAGTCTGAAAAGGACAATTTCAACTTTTTGACTTTTTTTAACTTTAAAAATTTATAACACACCAGCCTTTTTAGATACGATATCAAGATTTTACACACACTTTGAAATAGATGTGAATAGACGGCGAGCAAAATTTCAACCCAATACCGCAAGAAATGATTAACTTATAGCCTCTCCACGAAACAAATTGTGTTTTTCCGAAAATTCCACTCTAACCAGGAAATGCTCGATTACAAAAATGGGTATTCTCAAAATAATTTTTTTTGATGTGGAAACGGTGCACTAGATGGTCACTGAACTGCCTATGAGGTCATTTGGGTTGGACGGCACAAACCACTGTTTTGGTGTATGCCCCCTTAAATCATGTTACATCTGATCTGAAAAAATGAGCCAAAACGGATTAGAAATGACAAGGTTATCAAGCATTTTGTGTATCTCTTTAACAAAATTGGCTGGGTAATTATGTGACACCGTGACACGACACCTTAATTGGGCACCCTTAACAATTTCCATAATGTTTAATGGGTTTACCTTATCACCTGATCACACACGGTAATGAATAAACTCGTTATGCTTCGTATCTCAGTCATCTGAGAAGCTACAACTCTAATTTTTTCAGGACGAACGTAATTCGAATGGCCAAACACAATTCAATAAAATTTAGCTCGATCCGACTTCCAAACTATCAAATAAATGCGAAAATGAACCTTCATTTGAAAAAATGTACACGAATCCTTTTCGATTTGACAAATTACTCAAACCAGTGGTGGTAGTAAGTCATACCAGAAAGAATTATTTCAATTGGGCACTCAGTGACTGAGCTATGGCCAACGTTTTCACACTGACTTTTGGCCATCATAGATTTTTAATTTTTTAGGCAAATCCCTAAAAATGTTTGCACCCAAAGCTAAAAATATGGGTACCATTTAAAAATGATTCCAATGAAAATCTTTTCAGAGACAGTTTTTCCAAGCTACTTAAATGTCAAAGAAAATGCAATTTTATCGATAGAAAATAAAGTAAAGCCTAAAAACACACCAAACAATGATTAAAATGTGATACATACAAAGAGTTAAGTAGGTGTCCAATGAAGGTCCCATTCAGTCAATAGTAAACAGTGTCAAGCACAGGTCGTCATAAGAGGGACCTCTCATTGATTACAGGCCTGGGTAAGGCCGGATACATACCAATGTCTGGAGCATTGGCTGTCTAGTATAGAAACTAGACTCCCAATCTAGGTGTTGGTGGGCCCTGTAGATAAACATATTAAGCTTATCACTTTTTAAAATTTCACTGCAGACCTGGATGGATTTTGGCCCACTGGAGCAGTTGATGATCACCAAAAGTGGAATCCCCACCTCGGAACCTAAGACTGAATGGAGTTGGGTTAGAAACATATAAGAGATATGATGGTTTAACTTGTAGAAGCTTTCAATAAACATGTGTTAATCGTCGTCAGCTGAATGTGATGGGGTGGCCAATGCTTATATAATGTGATGGAGTGGTGTCAAGGATGGAGGGTGGGGGTGGTGTGGGTGGGAAAGTGAAAATTACAGTACAATGTCAATAAAAATGTAGGCTTCTGTTGAGGTTGAGAAGGAAATGCCAGATGGTCTGGACTTTAAGGATTTGGCAATTTTAGGAAGGATGGGGTCCCAGAGGGAACTACATTTGGGTGCGCAGTCTGTTCTGTTCATGGCTGGTTGTCGTATTTGTATAGCTGCGTGTTCTGTGAGGTCAAGTTGGGAGCGTGAGGTGAGGGATTTGAGGACTTCGATGTTGTTCCAGGAGATGGTGTGGCCGGTGGTCAGGGCATGATGTGCAGGGGCTGATTTGATTCAGTCTGTGGATTCGTCAATGGCATTGTTGAGTCTGTAACATCGTTCGTGTTCTTTCATGCGGTGAATCAAGGGTCTGTAAGTCTGTCCGGTGTATTTTGAGGGGCACTGTGAGCAGGAAATTTCGTAGATGGTGTTGGGAGTGAGATGAGTAGGGGGTGTGGTCTTCGTGGTCTTTGGTGAGGAGGTTGCAGAGGAAGGTAGCCGAGGAGTGGGTGACTTTGATGTCGTGTTGTCCGAGTATCTTGGAGATGGGTTTGGATAGGGAGGGATGGAAAGGAAGAGAAACACTAAGGGCATGTTCACGGGTCTGTCGGTTGAATGAGGCTAGGGATTGGTGGCGGGAGTTCGTCGTCAAGGTGTTGGGGTGAGCAGATGTTGTGGGCTCTTCTGGTCAGTGATCGGATGACTGCGTTCTTAGATGAGTTGGTGGTGCAGGAGGAGTACTTGGTGTAGAGGTTGGTGTGGGTGGGTTTTCTGTAGACTGATGTGGATTTGTCAGGGTGGATGAGAACGTCAAGGAAGGGTATAGTTCCGTCTGTAGAGGGATGTTCTTGGGTAAAGTTCTTGGGTAAAGTTGTCGGTAAAGTAAGTCGGTACCTAAGGTCTTCTACAGCTAGTCAGTAAATGAATTGAAAGCTATTCTTCATAGCCACTGCCACTATAATGTTTCTGAACTGAAATCCAGGACAGGCAATATAATTATAGCAGCAAAATTCGGCTATAATTTGTGTTAACAGCTTCTATCCTCCCTGAAGGAGAAATGCAGTTTGTTCTTCCAAGGGTGCATGATGCTGCCTAGTACCTATTGTGTTTACTGTGCACCAACGTCCAACAGGGCTGATTGGTCAGTCAGGTTGATATATTTGAGGACTGGACAGTATTAAAAATAAAACAAAAGTTAATAAAACAGAAGTTAATAAAACAAAAGTAAATAAAACAAAAGTTAATAAAACAAAAGTTAATAAAACAAAAGTTAAATGTATATTACTAATTATTCAATCAATACATATCATTTAAACTCTAATATTAGAAACATACAGCAAGATGGATGTCTTAACTCTTAAACTATAAATTTTTTGTAACTAATAATCTAATAGTTTAAAGTTGAATTTTAGTTAGGTATGAAATGCCACCACATCATAGTTAGGATGAAAGATTATTCTTAAATTATAAAATTGAGAAGATTGGTCTATAACTTAAAATTTAAAATTCTAGCTATCTACTTTTTAAACAGTTGGTTACAGTTGGTGACAGAACTGGCAGAACCAATCTTATTGTGGCTGGTAAAAGGATCCAGTAAGGGCTTTATCCCAACCCCTGGGGACTACAGTGTAATAAGATCAGGCCAAATGTATAGATATGTAGTGTAATTTATTTATTTCGGAGCTATATTTGCATGATATAGCTGGTGGTCATATTTAGAGGTGAGTTCATTCGTGTGATATCTTCATGTTGATGATCTCCAATCACGCATTGGTCCATTGAACTTACAAACACTTATTAGGGGGCTTTCTGTTTTATTTCTTATACACAGTACATGCAATAGAATAGCCTAGCTGAAATTAATTAATTGTCCTAACACATCTCTTCAAGTGATCAATCATCAATGCAAATGGCAGAGGTCAAGCTTGGAAAGCGAAGTAAGAAAAGAAGGGAGCTAACTAATGAACAGAAAGAAGAACTGCGAGAAGCATTTGATTTATTTGACTCAGATAAGGATGGTGTTATTGACTATCATGAACTCAAGGTAAAACATTATAAATAAACTTTTTATTTATATATTTTCTACTCCACACTAATTTACTCTAGTCTCTACACTCTTCTGCATTAAACGATTCGTACAGTATCTAGTATAGTACTATATTTGCAGTACACTACAATAGACTATATTTTAAACTGGCAACAGCTTAAAAACACGAAAACATTATTGATCAAAAAGTGATCTTTTTCTGGTGATTAACCGTTTATTACAGCTTTCTTTGGGAATAGAACTTTCAGTATCTCAATCGTGTCTTGTGCCATCCTCAGTGACCTTGCTCGATGTTCATTGAAGAAAAATTGAGTCAAAACAGTGAAATTTGGGTCAAGGAAAGCTGAAATTTGAAAATGTCCTACTGGTAGGACATTTTCAAAATTTTCATTCCATCAACGTTTTCTCCGAATATACAGCTTCCAGTACCTTGATGGCGACTTGTGTCACTCTCACGGACATCACTGATTGGTCACTGGTCAAAAATTTCGGTCACTCGTAAATACATCGTATTTACAAGTGTCATTAGCAAGCTTAAAGTCGGCTCGTTACTGCTTCTCATATATAACCAAAATAAAACCACTTCCTAAAAATTGAAACCCAGATTTGTATCTTTCTATTTTGCTCGACAGACGTGAAACAAGATTAGAATACAATTAAAAGTCAATCGAAAGATAACTAAGCGGCCGCAAACACAACATAACCTACAGTGCAGCCTGTTATCTTGCTTTTTTTCTTATATTATTATTATTCTTATTCCCACGTTTTATTTAGATTTATGCTCAAAAAACTAAATACTGAACTTACACTTTACAGGTTGCTATGAAAGCGCTTGGGTTCGACGTCAAGAAAGCAGAGGTTCTCAAGTTGCTAAAAGACTACGATAGAGACGGCTCGGGTAACATGTACTGGGACGACTTTTACGATATCTGTTAGTTATTCCTTTTATAAGTTTTTATAACATCATTTAAATTTTGACTATTCAAATGGTACTAGTTGATAATATCATTTTAATATTAATTTATTTCAAATGGTACCAGTTAAATCTAAGAAATAGAACTTGCGTTTAATTTTTTTACAAAATTGGACGTTTTGATATGAATCCATAATGGTAAATTTTTGTCAGTTCTCTGTCAAATTAGAAAATATATCCAAGACCAAAAGGTTTCTATGTTTTGCATGATCGATTTATATTATTGCATTAATAAATTAATTATTATATAAATTGATTATGCATATTGACAGAAGAAACTAACTTTTCAGTGAAAGATAAGATGCTGGAGAGAAACCCTGAGGATGAAGTACAAAAAGCGTTCACCTTATTTGACGACGACGGGTAATAATTTGTAATAATTAGTCCTGTTAATTACAAATTATTACTAATTAATCGCGTATAATTAAACTCATTAATAAAAACCGTTATATTTCCTTTTTCCAAAAATAAAACCGACTAGGACCGTCTTTACGATTTTAAAAAACATTTCAGAACTGGTTCTATAAACCTGAGAAACCTGCGGCGCGTAGCTCGCGAGCTGGGTGAGAATATGAGTGATGAGGAACTTAGAGCAATGATAGACGAGTTTGACACTAGCGGGACTGGGGAGAGTAAGTCTATTGTATTTGCCCTGTTCTATTGAGTAATTGTTGTCTTATTCGCAATAATTTACTGAAGTTTCAAACTTCTTTGCTACTAATAGATGGCTGCTTAGCATGTAAGGCTGCGTCTCGTTTCTCAATAAAAAGCATAAATAAAACTGCATTGTTGTTGCAATTTCAGCAAAATAATTGTTGTTACAATTGGCAATCGACTATTATCGATAATTTCTTTCAACGAGAAGAAGTGACACAACGAATATGAAGCATAAAATATAACCCACAAAACACGAGGGTCTGTTTTTTCTTCAAGCTCTGAAACCTCAAAAACAGAAACATGCTTTAAATTGACAGCGTGCTAAAAATCACTCTACACTCAATCTTCGAGATTTTTCTAAAAGGGCCCCCGACAGTTGAAACTAATTCTAATCGATGTATTTTCCGACTCTGATTCCGAAGTACCCCTCATGACAGCGTGTTAAAATGCTCCCCTGGCGAGATATTGGCGAAAAACTGTCTCGATCACGTGATGTGACCGTATAACGAAGTTGGTCTAATTTCTCGTTAGGGTTTCAGCATATGCTTTTGTTAGGGATTGGGTTAGGGTTAGGGTTGGGATCAGATTAGAGAGTTAGGGTTTCGAATAGTCGTTTAGGACCAGCTAGAGAACGTGTTTAAAAAGTCACGTGACAGTCGAGTGTAGAGTGATTAATCATCGCCCTCTAAATTGCTTAGTGTAAGTTGAGCAGCACAGTCACAAAAGTCTCGTTCATACAATTTTTGGTATTTCCAAGGATCCGGGCATTTGGTATTTCCAAGGCCAGTAGCTCAGGAGTCAGGATGTCTGATGCAGTGTCCCGATTAAAAATAATAGGACACTGCATCAGATGTCCTGAGCTACTGGCTAGTTATTTAGTCTTAGCACTCTTATGGGAACCTGTGCATGGTAGAACAAGGCCGACCGAGACAAAGCTATTTGTCTTTGTTACTGAAGAAGTTGGGACAAATTCTAAAGATGAACTGTGAACCCTGCTGCGGAATAAAGATATATGGAGGGGTTATCTGGCGTAGATCAGACTTAGTTCCGACATGGTAGTAGTAGTAGTAGTATTCGTAGTAGTAATGATCCTGAGATTTGGTAATTGGTATCGCTACGAAATTTACCCCTATGCCATTCTTTGAGATCATAGTAACTCTTTTTATTTTGCTAATATTAGTCCCACTTAGTGCCTTTGTAATCTAAGGAGGTAAATTTGGCGAATATGTGGAAGTGTGGCCACTCTGTCCCAATGATTTAAACTTTACTTTTAATATTTGGTGTCCAGCCAACATGCACGGGTGAGGCCCAACGAATTTTATCTGTTGCCGCCACTGCGTGTTCGACGCGACGCGCGAACTCCGAACCCAGTTCTTGTGTACTGAGTGAGTGCGCTTGCAGTCTGTGTAACCACGCGGGATATATATATATTTCATGGCTGGACTTCTACACAATAAAAGAAAGCGGTTGTGATTAGATCTTCGAAAGTCTTTGCATCGTTTATTTACATCAATTCTGAGAAATTATATCATTAAAGTAACTACAACAAATACGAATCATATACAATTGAGAATAAATACAAACTAAAAGCAGTGGGAAAATCTGATGAACTGAAATTTAAAAAAGAAACTGAAAGCCGTTAAAAATGTACTCTTATCTTATCTCTTATCTAAATACTGATAACTGATTCTCGGAAAATCACTTAAAATCACAACAAAAAACCTGTAAAATTTATACTTAAGTAAAAAATGTAATATGCACGTCTCTGGAATAATGGTATAACTAAATAAAATCTACAAAATATACTAAAACTATAACTAAGCTCCGGCAGATTTAAAAAGTATATGGTTACTATCAAGGGTGTTCATACCCCCAAACCGTTCAAGGGTTTTCAATTGGGTCTGGTAGAACCCCTCTCTAGCTTCCATAGCCTTTTCTTTGTCTGCTTTACTAATATTAGGCTCAAATACTAAAGCGTCTACTATAATGACAGAAAGGTGCTTACTAAGTGAGGAATTATAGGAGGCTATGGTACTAAAATCTAAATCATGATCAATATCTAAAAAATGGTTAACTAATTTACAACTTCTTATACCTTTCTTTATGTGACTCTTATGGTTAGAGAATCTCTTAGGGAGATTTGAGGTAGTATAACCGACATACGACTGTTTACAAGTCTTACACTCCATTAAATAAATGAGGTTATAACTCTGACAAGATATATACTTCGTTATAGGGAAAACTTGTTTAGAATGGTGACTACTAAAGTTGGAACAGGGGGACAGGAAATTTTGCTTACAAACATAGCATTTACCACAAGCATGGCACCCTGGGTCGACAGCCCCGGGAACCGCCCTTAGATTTTCGGAGTCTGGTTCCTGGATCTGACTTGCAGTTGTTTCTCTCTCATTATCACAGTTTAAAGTTCCACTGGCACGGTACTTATTGTGTACAAGCATGCCACCGATAGTTTGATTCTTTCGATGACTCACGAATACACTGTCCGCACGTACCAGCTTCTTCAGGGCCGGATCGAGGTTGAGAAGGTGCTTATACTTATGGATAATGCCCCCCATGTTGGGAAGTGCTGGATTTTGATCCATCACCATGGGTATTAAACAGGCAGTCGACTCATCCTTGTCTTTAAGGGTATACAAGTTTTTCCTATTAGCTATATCACTAAATTTGTTAAAGGCATCTTCTATAATACTGGAATGATAACCTCGGGCTAGAAGGTAACGTGTATAGACCTCTCTCTGCTCCAAGAAGTTAGTGTCTTCACTGTTGTTCTGTCTCACCCGCCTCGCCACTCCAAAAGGTATGTTTTTTACAACATGGTTCCTATGGCATGACGTGGGGATAAGGTAGCAGTGGGTGTCACTAGGTTTAGAGTAGAGTTTGGTGTGGACAACATCACCAACAGCATAGACATAGGTGTCTAGAAACTCAACGCCGTCCCTAGAGTAGTCGTAAGTAAACAAAAGGTTTGGGTGGATACTATTGAGCCATTCCATGAATTGTAATAGTTCCTCAACAGTACCGGGCCAAGCCATATAAATGTCATCACGTAATCTACCCCAGAATGCTGGTCTATGAGGCGGGCCATATTCTAGATCTCCTTCGTTAACTAAAATATCAATCTTATCCATAGCACAATCTGCATACTCACATGAGTTCTTAGGACCCATCGCTGCTCCACGCTCCTGGCGGTATGTTATACCGTTAAATGAAGCAATGTTGTAATCAAGAGTAATTTCTAGTGCACTAATAATGCATTCTGTACTAAACAATTGATCACCACTACTCCTTTTATTCAGGTGCTTAGTGCATTGTTGGATCCCCATATCCCTAGGAATGTTGGTAAACATGTTAGATATATCGATGGCAACATGTATAACCTCCTTTCCCAACAATATGCTAGACTCGTTCAGGCTATCAATCTTCCTCAGAAAGTGAGGGGTATCAATAATTCTATAATTCAAAGTAGCCTTCTTCAATTCATACGCAGTCAAGGCAGAAAGGTTTTCAATGTATGAACCACAGCCGGTGGTAATCATCCTCCCAGGATACAAAGGTGGTTTGTGTGCCTTGGGATTCAGGTACATGTTTCCAGGCTGGTTAAGCTCAGTACATGGAATAACCCACTCCTTGACCTTCTTGGACATACCTAATTCATCTTTAAACTCAATTGTCCAATTCGAAATTTTATCAATCAATTCTACAACTAAATCATCTACATTATTTACAATACTATATACAGATCTATCATTTAAATGTACACCTATTCGTTGAATATAATCTTCTTCACTAAGAAGGAAGAATCCTACTCCTTTATCGAATGGTCTGATTACAATGTCTTTCCAACCTTTGACTTCTTTGAGAGCTGCTCTGATGGGCGCAGCGATGTTATCTGGTGAGACGAATTTCTGAGTTGGCCTGTGGAGGTCTACTTCTGCTCTGCAGCATTTTATAAATGCCTCAAGTGCAGGGTTTTTACAAGATTCGAAAGTACGTGATGCATCAGTCTTTATAAGACAACGTTCCATATCAGTAACTCTCTTATCTGCTTTGTTGGGTCCACATTTAAAGCTATCAAATACAACTTTAGCTCTCATTTTAGAAAACCATCTACACAAATCGTTCTCGAAGCGGCTTAGATCTGGTAGGGGAGGTGTAGGTGCAAACTTGTGAGACAAGAAAAAGACATAGAGTTGCTCTTTACTAAGCTCTTTGTCTGTAAGATTTACAACTGTTCTGGACATGTTTTCCATTGACAAGTCTTCAACCTTGGGAAGAGTACCTTTGATTAACGTCCTCTGATGTCTGTGGGATGTGGTACGATTAATCTTTTTTCTCTTCCTTCTTCTCCTCTTCTTCACAGGTTTAGCATTATCCACATATGAAGGTGCAACATAAATAGCATAGTCCTTATCTCTCTTCAACTTAGATTCATGACGCTTGGTTAGTTCAAGTTTCTCCTTGTGCATTAAATTAGATAAATGATTCTCTAAATTTTCATGATCTGATGGGGGAAGTGCAGATTTGATGCAGTTTTTGAAACTATAAAAGCTTTAACGCAAAGTCTGAGACCTGATTACTTGATTATCTATGACTAAGTCTAGCATTCTTGATTTCTGTAACTGATTAAGCGCTTTACAGGATTCTACATAAAAAGTGTCTTTAACTGCACACCTAAAATTGATTTGAGTAGCAATACCTCTAGGGATATTACCGTGGTCTCTCGTAGTCTGTAAGTATCTCAATTGACAAGATGCCCTAACTGATCTAACTGCTAAGTTGTCCAATTTAGGCATCGGGGGACTCATAATGATAAATGTTACTGAAAACAAACTAAAATCTCATAAAAAGATGTCGGATGACAAACGGAGCGTGGAGGCTCTGGGGATTCTGATGTGTACCGAGCTTGTAGCTGATAGATTGTAGAAGAATCACCACGTTGTGTCAGATGTGTTGCGTAGAAGTGCTATATATATTTCATGGCTGGACTTCTACACAATAAAAGAAAGCGGTTGTGATTAGATCTTCGAAAGTCTTCATCGTTTATTTACATCAATTCTGAGAAATTATATCATTAAAGTAACTACAACAAATACGAATCATATACAATTGAGAATAAATACAAACTAAAAGCAGTGGGAAAATCTGATGAACTGAAATTTAAAAAAGAAACTGAAAGCCGTTAAAAATGTACTCTTATCTTATCTCTTATCTAAATACTGATAACTGATTCTCGGAAAATCACTTAAAATCACAACAAAAAACCTGTAAAATTTATACTTAAGTAAAAAATGTAATATGCACGTCTCTGGAATAATGGTATAACTAAATAAAATCTACAAAATATACTAAAACTATAACTAAGCTCCGGCAGATTTAAAAAGTATATGGTTACTATCAAGGGTGTTCATACCCCCAAACCGTTCAAGGGTTTTCAATTGGGTCTGGTAGAACCCCTCTCTAGCTTCCATAGCCTTTTCTTTGTCTGCTTTACTAATATTAGGCTCAAATACTAAAGCGTCTACTATAATGACAGAAAGGTGCTTACTAAGTGAGGAATTATAGGAGGCTATGGTACTAAAATCTAAATCATGATCAATATCTAAAAAATGGTTAACTAATTTACAACTTCTTATACCTTTCTTTATGTGACTCTTATGGTTAGAGAATCTCTTAGGGAGATTTGAGGTAGTATAACCGACATACGACTGTTTACAAGTCTTACACTCCATTAAATAAATGAGGTTATAACTCTGACAAGATATATACTTCGTTATAGGGAAAACTTGTTTAGAATGGTGACTACTAAAGTTGGAACAGGGGGACAGGAAATTTTGCTTACAAACATAGCATTTACCACAAGCATGGCACCCTGGGTCGACAGCCCCGGGAACCGCCCTTAGACTTTCGGAGTCTGGTTCCTGGATCTGACTTGCAGTTGTTTCTCTCTCATTATCACAGTTTAAAGTTCCACTGGCACGGTACTTATTGTGTACAAGCATGCCACCGATAGTTTGATTCTTTCGATGACTCACGAATACACTGTCCGCACAGATTTACATTATATATATATATATATAATGTAAATCATATTTTGTGATTATGATTCATATCACAAAATAGATATGAACTTATGAAGTTCGATTTTATCGATTCGATTTAATTACGAATTCATTGATTCAATCGATCGTCACCATCTCTCTCTCTCTCTCTCTCTCTCTCTCTCTCTCTCTCTCTCTCTCTCTCTCTCTCTCTCTCTCTCTCTCTCTCTCTCTCTCTCTCTCTCTCTCTCTCTCTCTCTCTCTCTCTCTCTCTCTCTCTCTCTCTCTCTCTCTATCTCTCTCTCTCTCTTGGTTACGGTCAACGGTTTCTGGCCTCCTATGATAAGAGGGAAGCCTTCTCGCCGTGCCAACAGCGTGCAACTCCTGCTAGCTGCACGTCAGGACTCCAAAGTATATATACATAATCATTAAAAAATATATATCAATGTAACTAACCACTGGAGTCTTGAAACTGTCACTACCTGGATTAGAGCAAACCCACTGCCGTTGTAGTACTTCTGCGGGCAGACAAGGGACTTCCGAGCAAGGTGAAAGCCTGGGGAGATATGTCTCTATGCGGAGATGGGCCTAGGTTGAGTTCCTAGTGTGGAATTTAGTGAAAGTTCCTGGTGAAGAATCCTAGGAGGTTACCCAAAAAGGTTGTCCCTATCCAGTCTTGTCGACTGTTCCACAAATTTGAAGATATGGTTGAGTTTACTGTTGTTAAGATCCTCCGTAGGGGTTTACCAAATATCCTCATTCTGAGCGTCATGAGCTGGATACACTTGCAGAGGAGGTGCTGGGATGTTTCTGCTTCTCCTGGAAAGTGTTCACAATCTTGCGTCTTGAAACCACGTTCTGAAAGTAAACTAGTGGGCTGTGACTTATCCGGAAAGCGGCCATGTTAGCCATCTGATGTGAGTTCCAGATATATAATGCATATCATATTTTGTGATATGAACTTATGAAGTTCGATTTTATCGATTCGATTTAATTACGAATCCATTGACTCAATCGATCGTCACCATAATGGCGAGCATTTTAAACTGCACTGCACTATTGATTATTATTATCCTTACAAATTAACTGAATGGTTCATTATGAAATAACGTCACACAATCGTCTACTGAAATGAGCAAAATTGGCTGATAGAATTGAGAATGTGAGGTCGCCATCCTATCTATAAGGTTTAGACTCACCTCCGTAACCGTTGTTTTTATTTCAGTTGATCTCAACAGATTCATGTCGATAATGCTAGGAGACTCGTAGAAACCATCATCCAGACTAGTTACCAAAGTTACACGGGAGAGACGACAACCACTCAACAGCCACTAATTAGCGGATACTTTACCGAATAAATAGATATCGTCAGAATCCACCTCGACTTTATCAAGAGTGGTCGGATGTTTTATATTCTAATCAGGCTGGATGATTCAATGAATATGAACAAAGATTTACAATCATGTTACCATATTAGCATATTTGCCGGTGGACGATAAATATTTATTGGACCGCTTAGTGTTTTATTTTGATATTAAGGAGCGCTTTAACTTTAACTGCGGTCACAATTTATGCCTTACTCTGCAGTTTAAAGAGTTTAAGTAATAAGATTGCTTTTGTTAAATTTTGACATAAAAAATGAATATAAAGTGACACTTATCTCATCGATTATTTTAATTCAATTCTAACAGCTTCGTCTTTAACTTTCAGAAACGCAACTGTACTTGTTAATTTCTTTAAATATGTTGAATTCTAATCTAAATGTCGCACATTCCAAACTACTGATCCTAGCACTGAAGATAACATTACCACCTCACCCATCAGTGTTATAATGGCCAAGAAGAAAGGTAAGAAGCTGCAGTCCAAGACACGTATTACTGATACAGTGGAGAGCTCACTGTTTGAAGCTGAAATAGAGGAAGCCACCGAGTCAGCAGTAGCTGCTCTTTCTATGAAGAGGTTCAGTCCTGTACCGACTGTGGTTAATGCTAGACAAGATGTGGTGAGTTAACCCTGAGATTAACAACAGAACTCTGTATAGTTGTAGTTTAAACTAGTTTTCTCGTTACCATAATAAAATTGTGATTCCATTAAAAACATTGCTATTACTTTACTTCGTTACTTCGTTGAGTTCATCCGTGGAGCCGGAAGGGTCATCAGATATCTGACCACCTGGATAGCGAGTAGTCGACCAGTGAGTTTGACCAACTGCAGCTGTAGCCGGCGACCGGAGGGTTGTCCGGTATCAAAGCAAGAAAGTTCGACAAACTACACTTAAACATGTCAAAGGATGAATCAGCCTTTACTGTGTGAGGCACTTTGTTCCACAGCTTCGGTCCTTGAACTGCAAAAGACCTGTCGTACAGTGACTGGTTGCGTAAGGAACTTGACTTTGACAATGAGGGTATGACAGCTACATCCCCGTGTCTTGGGGTCACCTTGAACTTGATATCACAACAGTTTGGTACCACATTATGGAGAATCTTCCACATCATCAGGATGATATACCTCTCCCGTCTGCGCTGTAGAGACATCAATTTAAGCTGTACGAGTCTTTCCCAATAGTTGAGATGTTGAAGACCGCCAATACGACTGGTGAAAGTTCTTTGCACCCCCTCTATCAGCTGTATTTCAGTCACCTTGGTAGGGCTCCAGAGTGGGCAGCAATACTCTAGAAAGCTTCTTACTAGTGACTTGTAGAGAGTAGTCATTACGGTCTTGTCGCGAGTTTTGAACACACTGAATACCCAAGATAGCGTGCTCCTTGCTTTGGGTACCATGTTGCCGATTAAGATTAATTCTTATCTTATCCCGAACTTAGATATGGGAAATTATTTCATTTTTGGCGATCTTATCGCCTTAGTATCCACATTTTAACAGAGCTATAAGTCATTGAGAAAATATAGGGCCTAGCTTTTCAACATGATAGATACACTGGGACGGTTCTTTTTCTCGTCAATTTTTTGAAAGATCCTATATTGCATATTTCGTTTTCTCACGTCTAATTAATTTCAAATTCAAGAGATTGAATTTGTTTGATTACATGTCAGACCACCTCGAAGATATGTAGGATGATCAGTGCTTGCTGATATTCTGTTATTTCTTACACGAGTACTGCACTTGGTCACTCTCAATTTTATCGTTCGGTGTAGATCATGCCGACTCTTCGGATTTAGTTCGTTTCATATGCTGTAGTTTCTTTTTACTGCCAAATCTCATTTGTTAACGTGAAGTTGATTCTTTTTTTTTAAATGCAATTTATCCAACCGGACCTTACCAGTTTTCTAAATTTATTTTTACTTGAAATGTCACATCTTACCTTATCTTACTTCTTCTTTACAGATGGAGAATATTCTGAAAGTCCTTCAAGAGCCGACTGAGACTATGTACAAGGGGCTGAGTCAGCGGGCCCAGAACGAACTCAGTCCTCAAGAGGTCTCTTACATCACTTACTTTTCATTCTGTGACATTTTAAATTAACTTCCTCCTATTCTAAAATAATCAAAAATTCTTCTCCAGGTGACCGTGAAGAATTCGAAATTTGTCCCGTCTTGAAGTGAACATTAATTGAATAACAGTTTAATTCCAAATCTCGTTTTAAACCGTGTATCTCCAGGTAAGAGAACTGAGAGAGTTGTTCTCCATATTTGATATTGGAGGAAAAGGTAGACTCTCGTATCCTGTCCTCAGGAAGTCTCTAAAGACTATGGGGTTCTCTGCTGATGACAAAGAGTTACTTGGAGCCATAGGTTAGTCTTCCTTCTCATAGGTTAGTCTTCTTCTATCTCTGATAAGTTAGTCTTCTTCTCCCCTCTCATAGGTTAGTCTTCTTCTCCCATTATCATCTAACAACCTTATCAACTCCCTCAGCGGACTGTAATATAGCGGTGGACGAGGGTGTTACATTCTCACAGTTTGTAGATATTGTCCTGATAGAACAAGGAGACAGTTTCGATGTTTACGAAGAGTTGATGTCTGGATTCACTGCTATGGATATTGGTTTGTTCTCTGCGAGATTATTTGTGTGTCTCCACTATTGTGGGATTTATAGAATGTCCCCTCGAAAGTGATATCGTATGATATAATTTGTTTCAATCCTTCTTTATCTTCAGAGCGTAACGGTAAAATAACGGCACAATCACTAAAGAAACTCTGCAAACGGCTTGGTAAGTTTTAAAAGCTACTCCCAGCAAGTTATTCTCTCAAGAAGCTGAAACAATCCTTGCCATAATATTCTTATCATTATAACATGACTCCTTCCATCAGATGAGGATCTCTCCCAAGCCGAGATAGAGGACATGATATCGGAGGCAGATAAGGACGGTAACGGAGACGTCTCACACAAAGAGTTTATATCAGTCATGCTAAAAACCAACTTGTTCCGGGGAACCACAGCTAACTTCAACTCTTGTATTGCTGAGAATAGGAGGGAATCTCAGAGGAAGGAGTCTCTATTTTCTTGATTATTGTCACGTGTCCTGATTGTTAATTGAGAACTTATGATTCTTTCTCTGAAGTTTACCTGACTCCTGCCAGGTGACACTTTGATAACTCCGCATGACTGCATCCGTAATAACTACCAGATCGATTCCTTATTTAGTGGGTATATCAGATTCATCATCCATCGTCTCTAGACTCTAATCGATGTAATTTCAGTTAACTTCCAATATTACAACATGCTATAGGGTGAGCTCTTGACAACTTCTAAGTTAGTTTATTTGATACAGTAACTGGTAGGTGTGTATCAGTTATTGTTGTTATGTGTATTGCGGAGCTGTGGAGCTGTGGGGTTTTGTCTGTTTATTGGGGGTAATCCTGAGATGTTGTTATTCTAGTTTAAAAGAAACGTACTACAGAGTTTCGCACTATTTACCTACTGTAGTGAAAATGAGTAAACCTAGGACATTTCAGCCATAAATTGTAACTTTTACACATTCACAACACAGAAATTGTAAATAATTTATAAAATGATTGTAGATAAGTGTATAATAATGTAATTTATTGTTCTTATATAATAACGATCTTTGTTTTATTCATTGAACCGTGTCTGGTGTAACATATAAATTCATTACTCGCGAATATAATTTTTTGGCTGAACTTCAGTAGTTTCTTTAATAATAATTTATCAATATTGAATAAGCTCGTAAAGTTATGACCCGTAATCTACGTTTTACTTTTAGGGCTTTATGAACTATTCGCCCATCCACAGCGACCTCTTTACTTCCTTCAACAAGATCGGATCTGAGATAGATGACATTTTCAATAATCTGGATGTTTTCAATCAGTCCTCCGAGCGTTACCAGACTTCGGAGCGTTATTTGAAAGGAGGGTCTTCAGTAGACTTCCTTGGTCCAAAAGAGACCGAACCTGACAATTTACCCAAACACAAGCTCAGCTTTTCCCATTCAGAAGCATTAGACCACGACTTTTCAATTATCCCCCTTCCAAAGCAAGCGTTCTCCGAGTCTGCCAGTAATTTCCTAATACAGGCCCAGTCCTCAGCAGTGGAACTGTCTAAATGTGGCTCCTCAACCCCTCTCAAAACAAACCCCTTCAATCAGAACAATCTGAACAACCTCTCCCTGAGCAGTCTCCACTCCAGTAGTAACCACACTAACCTAGGATCAGTGCTACTGAAGTCCCCTGACTCTGTGAGCAAAGAAAAGGAGCTCTGTAAGAAACATCAAGGAGAAATTAAGGAGTTGAGACAGAGGATTCTGGGGCTGACCGACAGAATCCAGATTACTGTGGACGAACGGAACAAAGTTTTCTTCAGACTGGAGGCTGCTGTCCGCGAGGTCGCATCACAGGTCAGTCTGTCCTGAGATTTTAAAGTGAACTTTGAACTGTTTCGAGTATGTAAAATATTAGTGTCTGTCCTGACTTTTAAAGAGACTTATTTTACCGTCATGAATGCCGAAAATGGAATAAATATAAGTCTGTTGCTAGGGAACCTACTCTGGTTGCTATGGTGGTCATGGCGACCTTCAAAATCCATCATTAACACTTTCAAGTTGTATTGTAAAATGATGACCTTGATGAAATCTTGTTCTTTTCCGTTAAAGTTTTTGTTTTTTCAGGGGACTAAAAAAGAAGCTCTGTCACAAAAAGTAGAGGATCTCAATCAGAAAATGTTAGAAAATGACTATGAAATTAATCAACTGAGGACACAGGTAGCCATTTCGTCTGGGTATCATCTATTGTTATTGTTTCATTATCCATACATTGGTTACTAGTCCAGTCATTTAAGCACATTATAGGCTCACTACCTGCGAATCGTCTGTGATTTCTGAGACTTAGCCCAGACCTTCCTAAAGGTTTTTAAGCTATCAAAAAACGCATGTTGCAAAAATGTTATCATGGGCATAACCCAGGGGGCCAAACCCATTGTTGGTCTTTAGGCGCTTTTCTGCCTCTGAAGGTCGTTCAGACTTCTGGGCTGGATGAAATGAAGCTGAACCAGTACATCTATAAATAATTATTAAATAAACAGTAAACAAACTGCTGAAAAACCTCTACTTTTCGATGAAAGCGCCAAAAAATTGTAAAGCGTAGCGCAGAGATTTCGCTTCTATTACTTTGAATGGAAGCATGGTTATGTGTAAGGTGTGGGCAAAGTCTAACAAAATCAAACGATCTGCAGGTAGCTGAGTAATTGCATGATGATTTTAGCAAATTACTTGGAAAAACCGGGTAGATTGCCTTGGAAATATAAAGGGGGGGGTGTCACGTCCGTCTATGTCCGCTTGTCTCATAGAATCCAAAAAGGACAGGACATAGGCGGACATAGACGGACATAGGCGGACATAGACGGACATTAGCGGACATAGACGGACATTAGCGGACATTAATGGACACCTAAATTGCTAAATTTTTGCTGTTATAGGGGGATCATGTTTTTTGTCCGTTCGGTACCCTATATTTTCAAAACGGACAAAAAATAGAGCGGACAAAAATGGACAAAAACGGACAAAAATGGAAATAACATTTAGATGCTTCCTCCTCCTACTCTTCCTCCTCCTCCTCCTGGGTCTTCCTGATCTTCCTCAGTCCTCTTCCTCCACCCCTCCTCAGTCCTCCTCCTACTCCTCCTCCTCGTCCTCACTCTCAGTCCTCCTCATCAGTCCTCAACAGTCCTCCTCCTCCCCAGTCCTCCTCCTCCTCCTGAGTCCTCCTCCTGGGTCCTCCTCCTCCTCTTCATCCTCCTCCTCTTCCTCCTCAGTCCTCAGTCCTCCTCCTCATCCTTCTCCTCAGTCCTCCATCCTCCTCCTCAGTCCTCCCCCAGTCCCCTTCCTCCTCCTCCTATTCAGTCCTCCTCCTCCTCCTCCTCAGTCCTCCTCCTTCTCAGTCCTCCTCAGTCCTTCTCCTCCTCCTCCTGAGTCCTCCTCCTCCTCCTCTTCCTCCTCTTCCCTCTCAGTCATCCTCCTCAGTCCTCCTCCTCCTGGGTCCTCCTCCTCCTCTCCATCCTCCTCCTCTTCCTCCTCGGTCCTCAGTCCTCCTCCTCATCCTTCTCATCAGTCCTCCGAGTCCTCAGTCCTCTCCGAGTCCCCCTCCTTCTCCTCCTCCTATTCAGTCCTCCTCCTCCTCCTCCTCCTCAGTTCTCCTCAGTCCAGAGTCCTCCTTCTCATTTCTCCTAAGTCCTCCTCCTGAGTCCTCTTCCTTCTGAGTCCTCCTCCTGAGTCCTCCTCCTCCTCCCTCTCAGTCATCCTCCTCAGTCATCCTCCTCAGCCATCCTCCTCAGCCATCCTCCTCAGCCATCCTCCTCAGTACTCCTCAGTCCTCCTCCTTCTCAGTCATCGTCAGTCCTCCTCCTCAGTCCTCCTGAGTCCTCCTCCTCCTCCTGGGTCCTCCTCCTCCTTCTCCTCCTGGGTCCTCCTCCTCCTGGGTCCTCCTCAGTCCTTCTCCTCAGTCCTCTTCTTCCTCCTCTTCCTCCTCCTCCTCCCTCTCAGTCATCCTCCTCAGCCATCCTCCTCAGTCCTCCTCCTTCTCAGTCCTCCTGAGTCCTCCTCCTGAGTCCTCCTCCTCCTGAGTCATCCTCCTCAGTTCTCCTCCTCCTCCTCCTAGGTCCTCCTTCTGGGTCCTCCTCCTCCTCCTCCTCCTGGGTCTTCCTGATCCTCCTCCTCCCTCTCAGTCATCCTCCTCAGTCATCCTCCTCAGTCATCCTCCTCAGCCATCCTCCTCAGCCATCCTCCTCAGCCATCCTCCTCAGTACTCTTCAGTACTCTTCAGTCCTCCTCCTTCTCAGTCCTCCTCAGTCCTCCTCCTGAGTCATCCTCCTCAGTTCTCCTCCTCCTCCTAGGTCCTCCTTCTGGGTCCTCCTCCTCCTCCTCCTCCTGGGTCTTCCTGATCCTCCTCCTCCCTCTCAGTCATCCTCCTCAGTCATCCTCCTCAGTCATCCTCCTCAGCCATCCTCCTCAGCCATCCTCCTCAGCCATCCTCCTCAGTACTCTTCAGTACTCTTCAGTCCTCCTCCTTCTCAGTCCTCCTCAGTCCTCCTCCTGAGTCCTCCTCCTCAGTCCTCCTCCTCCTCCTCCTGGGTCCTCCTCCTGGGTCTTCCTGATCCTCCCCAGTTCTCTTCCTCCTCCCCTCCTCAGTCCTCTTCCTACTCCTCCTCCTCAGTCCTCCTCATCAGTCCTCAACAGTCCTCCTCCTCCCCAGTCCTCCTCCTTCTCCTCCTCCTGGGGCCTTTTCCTGGGTCCCTATATAATTTGATATAATAAGTTAAAGCTATTAAATAATAAGTTAAATAGCTTAAATAGCTTTAATGTGATTAATAAGTCGTTTGTTTTGTACAAGATTATAATACAAGTTGCGAAAAATTCTCAAAATGTTTGTCCGTTAATGTCCACCAATGTCCGCTAATGTCCACCAATGTCCGTCCGAGTCCGCCTATGTCCGTCCGTGTCCGCCTATGTCCCAAAAAACACGTCCGTTGTCTCATAGAATCCAAAAAGGACAGGACATAGGCGGACATAGACGGACATGACACCCCCCCCCTATAAATTGCAAAACGTTTATGCGAATTATAGTCAAAGGTTTAAATGTTTTTCAGTTATACATTTGAGAAATTTACAAACCATCCCCTCCCCTCCGCAAACTATTAATAAAAATAACTCTTTTTCAGATCAGCCTGCTAGACGGTCAGATAGATACGACCCATACCTCCGAACTAAAACTCCTCGACAAGCTAGACCTCACTTACTCTCAGTTGGGACATTTCAAGGAGGAACGGGATAAGGTTCTCAAGGTAGCTCAGCGGTCAAACGATGAGTGCCAGAACGTAGTTCAGAAGTACAAATTACTTCAGAAGATCCATGATCACTGCAGTACGGTAAAAGATAACGATCAGGCAGAGAGACAGACCTTGTTTAGCAAGGTTGACGAACTGACCCGCGTCATATCCAATATGCAGAAGGAGAGAAATGATCTTATTCAAAACTTGGAGAAAGTTCATAAACTGGTTGATAAACTGGAGCGGAAAGCTACGGATAAGATTCAGGTTCTGTGTAGAGAGTTACAGGATCTCCAGGCCACTAATTCCTCCCTCAGAAGCTCTGCTCAAGAGAAAGACGCCGTGTTATCTATGGACCGAGCCACAATCAGAGATTTGGAGTCTAAACTTATTGAGTGTGAACGGGAAACCTCTGATGTAAAACGGTTTGTACAGAATCATCAGCAGAATCAACAGGGAGCTATTTCTACTAAAAATAAGAAAATTAAGATTCTCTCCTTGAAGGTTAAGCAGCTTCAAACCCGTATGCAAACACAAATCAGTCAGATAAGTATTCTCACGGAAACAAATGAGAAACTGGAAGAAAATTTAAAGGATGAGAAACTGAGATGTAAATCAGTGGTTGATGAGACCTCATCGAAAGATAAAAGGATTGAAGATTTAGAGGTTGCATTAAAAGAGCAATCTGTTCAAGTGAAAGAGGGCGCGGAGAATCAGAAGTTACAATCAGAACTGGAAGCAAGTATAACTGAACTCGTGCAACAGAGGGAATCAATCCAAACTGCACTGAGTGTATTAGAACAATCAAACAGCGCCCGACTTCAAGAAATAGACGAATTGAAACACTCCCTCGCCTCAACCGAGCTGGAAAAAGAGGCCCTCCTCCACGAATTGTACTCTAAACTAACCGCTAAAGATCGGAAGATCGGGAAACTAAAGGAAGGTATCAACCAGCTAGTTTCCTCCAGACAGGAAACAGTAGCCGAGCTACAGGAACTGAGGTTCGCTGTATCAGTCCTACAGGGGGAGGTGCACTCAGTCAAGGAAGAATCTGATGACAAACAGCGAGATCTAACAGCGGATCTGAAGGAAAAGAGTGTTCAACTGGAGCAGTACAAAGATCTGCTTGATAGGATGGAGGTGGACCAGAGGTCTAGAGTCATGGAGATGGAGTCAGAGTATGACTTCGTATCAGCTGCAGTGAGAGTTCGGGAGCTGGAGGCTGAAAACAACCATTTGAAAGCTGCACTTCAGAAGAGTCGTGAGAAGCACTCCAGGCTGAAACAAGACTTTGGGAAGAAAGTGAGGGAGCAGAATGAGATTATTGATAGTTGCGTGGAGAAAGAGGCCGCTGAGAAGCAGCTGACCGAGATGCAGGCTTATTATCAGGCTCGTGTTAAAGAGCTTGAGACGTCCCTCAAATAATTGTAAAGACTTTGCGCTCTTTTTCATGTTTCCTCTTTCGATAACCTAATTGTTAAAAAACTGTGGCGAATTTTGATATCTATATTTCATGTTAAGAGTATATTTGGTTGGTTTTTTGGTGGTTTATGTCTTTGAGCATTGACAAACATTTGAATAGAAGGGATCAGACTGTAATATTTTCATAAATTTTGTATTTATCAGAAACGGTCTTGTTAAACTTAAATAACCATTGACCATATAATTGTATTTATAAATTGGTAATTTTTAAGAATTTTTAAAACAGATGGTAAGAGTAATTCCTTTGCTTTAAGTACATTTATACATATATATTAATTTGTATCTATCAATATTAACAGTATGATTAAATCACTGAACTCTAATGCCTCATCAAATTAAAATCTGACCAGCTCAATTCCAAACCTTCATACTTCTTCGAATTATCACAATACTTTGGATGATTTGAAGAGCTAGCAAGCCCATCCTAGCTACCAAGAGTTGAGTAAAATGTTGCACTTGCAATAATTGCTGATCAAATCGTGCTTAGTTTTCACGCCCGCACCCGTCATTTCTGTAACTAAATCTATTAACAATTAACGTATTTTATATTTGGTTTTATGAGCTGCCTGGTTGTGATTTGTTCCGACTATCTTCACCAGTTAACTCGCAACAAATTTGAATGAGTGATTAAAATATTGTTGAGAAATAGGCTATCAAACGTGGTGTGAGACGAGGTACCACGTGCCGACCCGCCTGCCATTCAAAGCTAATCATTAAAACAGCGCACCTACAAACAAAGTGATCAGCAGTTAATTGGTCGGTTAAAGTTTAATTTCCAGCCATTATCCAGTGTTTATAGAAGTGAAATGCATGCTCGGTCGACGCCGCGTGATACTTAACCGAGCTGATTGGGTATCACGTGATCTGTTGATCGACCGCTGTCTCCGTCCTGAGGATAGGGATTGACGCATGACTAGGCTAACTCATAATCCTGACAAATCAATTAAACTAGGTGATGGCTGGAAGACGAGTTACCAGCGTGAAATTTGTGCGTCAAAGATAGCACGTGCTCTGGTTGTCTGTGTCACGTGATGAGTTGACAGTGTCTCAGCACGCGCTGAGTAGCAGCACGTGGGCTGGAATGAGACCGACGATTGGCGGCTGTAAATCCCCCCAGTTTCGATATAACTATCCCTGGGCGAATATGCTGCTCAGTTCTATTTTGTAGTCATTCCTTTGTATCACTAACCAAGAGAGATCTCAACTTTAACCAACTTCCAATATGAAACTGTTCCTTCTCATCGCTGCTTCTCTACTCGTCCTGTCCACTGTCACTGTAGAAACGTATGTTCAAATAACTTTATTTCATTGTGTAAATCATTTAAAAAATGTACAGAGCTGCTAAATCCCCTTTTATTATAAAACCTGGCCTTGGTCGCCTGTGATTTTATTTCAAAGATTTTGAATCAAAACAGCGTAGGTATTCAATATTCGCCACGAAATTAATAATTTATGTTAGCAATTTAAACTTAACATCTTTATTTTCAGCGAAGCCAGAGAAATTGTTGCTGAGGGTAAGTTAGTTGATTACTAAAGTTTAAGTACAGAGGTCTAATAAACCTTTATCAGTCCCTGTCTTGACTCTTTTAAAATCGGTCTTCTCATACCAAGGATTTAGAACGCACTAAGATTGATGGTTGAGAATGACAGTTAAGATTATATTAGTGGCATTTATTTAGTGTTACGAATCTATACTTGTTAGACTGCGGCTGGACCCTGGATTTGACGACTTGCTCTGCTTTAGTTTTATGGTTCCAAAATTCCTTTTCATACAATAAGTTGTAATTTTAAAAACATAACTATGAAGACTGTAGTTTTTCGTCAACAATTTTCTTCACATTATTGATTGAGATTCCGTCCATGTCCGAGTTGAATCCAAAAATCAGACATGTAATCGGGTAACTAAAATTCACCTTAATGTAGCAAATAATATTTATATTATTTTATGACAAATGTAAATTTTGTTATTGATCTGTTTCATGTCTGGTATTGGTTTGGACCAAGGACGGCCCACTCTTTCATCATAGTTATCTTTTTCTTCACAGGAGCTGAGGCCGACTCTGTAGAGATGGAATCAATGGAGGAAGATAGCTTTGTCTTCAGGAAAGAAGAAGAATCTGCATTCCTGTTCGCCGACTAAATCAAATGTAAGTCTCATCCTCATTTATCCATGAAAATATACCATATCTGAAAGTTATGTCAGGGGTCACTCTGATCCAGAATTTGATTTAAAGTTTTGGGATATTTCTATCCAGTTTCCATCTGTCATTGAGGTGTCCCACCATAAAGTAGTCCAAATCATACCTCATATTCTAAAAGTGTACGTGACATATTATTCTTGCGGTGTAGATGAAGCTAGTATCTTTGCTAGTATCTTTAACAGAACACCATGTTCCTACTGTGTTCAATGGTGAAGGTGCAATCATGCATTGTGCTCTTTAAGTTTAACATAGTGTGTGGCTGGGGCAGGATTTTTGATCTTCACGTGCAATTCGCAGCAAGGTTGAACTTAGGGGGGAGATGGAGGGAGATTTACAAAAAATGCTAGAGTTCAAAACATTGTTTAAATATGTTTGAATGTTGTTGTATGGCTATGCTGGTTTTGGGCTGGGCTGTGAATCTTACTTGATGACAAGTATGGCACTTACACGACCCAGCATGGCCATTGGCCCTAACACCATACCCGCCCCAACACTATGCCGGCCCATGATTTTCCGAATCGCTTACCAGTGGAAATCTAGTCAATTCAAATATCTGGTTGCTTGGTACTCATGGTTGATACGATCACAGCCCAACCACCTTCTTGATCAGACATGTGCATACGCCATCTGGGAGCCGTCAGTTGAGCTTGCTCTCTGACTCGTGGGTTGAAAACATCGTGTACAGTTGACAGTACTTCGTGAGTAGTACAGTTCTTCAGAACGATAATCCGCCTCCCCAACCAAATATCTCATGCTCCTAACATAGCCTGCTTGTTGTTATGCGATTTTGTCTTTAATTTTATATCGACAATAGAAGGCAAGGTGGTAACTTTTAGATTTGTAGAAACACGAATAATGGCCTTTGTAGTAGTGAGACAGTATTATAATATAGAATATGGAAACAATATAAACGCTTCTAATGAATGACATGGCCCCTAAAGAACGGTATCAGTATTCAGTATAAGTTTTATTTAATATCTAGCTATAGTTCTTTAACTACTAAGTTTTATTTATTTGTAATATCTAGCTCAAGTCCTATGGTTAATTTAATATCTAGCTCGAATGACGACTGACGGCCGGCTTTGTTGTGGTTAAACTACTCATGTCTATTATATTTACAAAATTTAGGACATTAAGATGTAGACGTGTAATCAGGCGACTAATCGAGGATAAGTGTTAAGTTATGTGTGGGGACATAAAAATGTGATCTTTCCCCTTTTTGGCACGGATCCAAAACTAAAAAATTAGTCACACTCCTCCCTTTCAAGGTTTACAATCTGCTAGAAGCACCGCAACAACCATTCTGTGATGTTCAAGCATTCTCGTGAAGGAAACGTGTCTCATTCTCCGAGACTGATGTCTCAATCTTGGGATTTTGGTCTCAACCTGGAACTGTCAAGGAATGTTTGCGAGTGTGAGATTTGACTTTACTTTTTGCTGCGTGGACAGTCAATTTGCAATGTTATAATCTTACTATACCATTTTTATTCACAAACTATTATACTATGTCATTACTTGGTTCCTTCTAATAAATTTTAAAAATGAAAATGCTGAATTCGTTCTAAATCTACGGTATTTTACAAATACAGTTCATGATTTTACAGACTTTGCAATTGCAGACCAAGCTTTAAACCTATCGTAAAGATTAAAGCTTATAAATAGTGAGAATATAAAACTAAACCTTGTCTGCAATATTGTCACAAGTCACGGTTGAACAAAATACTTAATTCTAGTTAAAGTTCTTCAGATTTAAAATGAATCAAGAAGAAAAAATGGTTTTAGATAAAAAACAACTTCAGATAAATTAGCAATTCATTTTTAATCCAGATTGCATGAAATTTTCAGTGTTAAAGTTTTCCAATTTCAATTCAATCCAGCACCTTTTCTCTTCAAATTCCACAAATTCTTTCATCTGAATTAAGTTATTTAAAGCCGAATGTTGAAGCATTATGAGGAAATAGGAATAATCTAAGTAATGTCTACTCTAGTGCCTAATCTAATGACTATCGACTACTCTAGTGACCTATAAATCGTCAGATTACAATTAAAAAGTCACCTAATCATCAGCTAGCTCTGGTCTGTGCTCAAAAACATGCTTCTCTTGCAGCTTCTCGAAAATTTAGCTTCTTAATGTAAAACTTAAAATTATGGATCTACCATCTTGTCTCAGATTAATAAGAAAATAAAAACTAAAAACTGCTGTAAATTCAAAATCTAGTTCAACTGTTGTGGGTAAACTTTTGAACCTTTACGACGTCATATTGAAATATAAAGGCGTGAAATATCAATTATCAAGATACACAAGAGTTTAAATAAATCGTTTTGTCAAATAAAACCTAAACTATACATAACATGCTTATTCAGTCTTCGCTGTCCATCTCATCCATACTGCTACAGTATTCTGTTAAAAACTCTGAATTCTCTGTCAAGTCTCTATAAAAATGTCCCTGGGGGAGGGACACTAACCACTGCTTAATCCTCGGGGCAGAGACTACTATCCATGGTGGACTTCACCGTCCTCAGGAACATGAATGGAGAGGTCTGACTGCTGTATCTGCCACATTCTTTAACCCAGGCAATGTGGCCGGAGAACCATCTTCTTTGGGTGTCCAGAATGTGTTGTGCTGCTTGGTCGTCAGGGTCCACTAGTTTTGAGAGTCTGGTGTGGTCTGAGAGACACTCGTTTGCTCTGAGAGGGGAGGCGTGTTAATTATGTAATTATGTAATTAACATAATTATTAATTAATCTATTAATTTGTAGATAAGTTTATTATTGTAGGTTTTCAACTGCACTACCAATAAATAACGTGTCATGATTGTAGAACTTATATTATGTTATAATCTAGCTTTCTAGTAGTGACTGGTGCAATGCTCCTAATCTTTGTTTGGACTCTGGCTTAGAATTAATCCAAAAATTTAGTGGCGGTTTAATTAGCTCCTAATTCTCCGCCAATATACATGAGTGGTAAGTATCCTGGTAACGCTAATTTACAGTACAACAATGGTTGAAATCTGAAATAAACAAAAGCAATTTAATTGAAGGCAATTGGGCTCAGTATTGTAGGAAATAGTATAACTCTCAAATAAAACGTCGAATACTTATCCAAATTAGATCAATATCTTTTTGCAAAATAAAGTATACAATTCTGCTCATGGAAATGCACTTTAGTTTTAATTTAGGGAAATTTGTTCACTTGACTCGGGTGCAATTCGTAATTAGCATCAATCTAAAGGTAGATTCTCATTGGCTCTTCTAAATTTGGAACAATTGACTGTGAACAAACTTCCAGGCAATACAGCTGATACGAATATTTTACTACCTCTTTGTTAGCTAGATGGAAAGTTGCCAGACAGCAAATCATAGCAATTCGCATGAATAATTGAAATTACTGGCTGTTATTTATCTGTCGCTCATGGTAATGAACTGCGCTGGATTTTATCATTGCTCTTCTTATAACGAATTTGTCGGCAAATGAATATATTAATTCACTTTACAACGGTAATGGATACTGTGCGACAAATTCTATTCGATTTTGTTCAAGTGTGCCGTAATACAGAGGATTTATTTCAAACCATTTTATTAACCCTGTAGTTGACAAATGACTCAGTACTCAGTACTTGACAATTGAGCCAGTTTATTCCCAAGCTGCTGCCCAGTCCTATCTACAAGTCTAAACAGCATGATCTATCTGATGACACCATGTCTCGGTAGTTGAAGTTTAGCGGTTTTCCCGGTATCCTGTGAGCACCTCCCTATGACCGGCCGTCTAAGAGTTTAAGCTGCAGTTTTGTGACGATAGAAGCTCCAGTGCCAGTCTCACATTTGTCCGACTGAACTATGTAGTACAGGAAATACACTGGCAGTATACCTGACCTGGGACACTTGCTCACGACTTCAGGTCTATAATTTAAAACATCTTAGTTAAAAGTGCTGGTCTCAGAATCTAACAGCTCGCACAGACTTGTGGAGCAGATTACCAAAAGAAAGTTGAGGCTAATGAAGTTTGAAGCTACCGTCGATATTATTTGTTATTAATTGTTGTTTGTTTAACAGCTTATCTTATAGAGATTCTCACGGCTTATTATAGATCCAACGTAACAAGGCTGTATATTGTAAAGCTGAGAGGTACTATAATGCCGTGAAAAGCTATTCCATGGTAAAACTACTTAGTTCTTATGGACGTCAATCCACTACCCAATTGAGAGTGTAAGACTTCGGCCGACCTGAAGGACAGAGCACGCCTCCATGCATGACTTTGATCACAGTTCGGTAAACCCCACAACAAAAAGGTTGTGGTAAAGCTGCTGTAAAGAATAAAAAGACAAAGGATAAACCTACCTTTCAACTGTCAGGTGAGCAGCCTCGTCAAAGGGTACCTGTCGGAGCTCCTGCACCGCGCAGACGTAGTTGAAACGGTCCTTTTCACGGTAGATCTGTGTAAAACATTATTTAAGAATCTGCGGTAACCGCAAAACTCCTTTACAGCGAACATCGACCAAGCTCATCGAATGGTACCTTGCCTTAGTGGCTAAATCAAGTTTTGCAGTTACATGAGGGTGTGAGGTTGGCACAGGGTCTAAGCTTAACACTCCTACCCGCCCGCCGCCCCGGTAAAGGGGTCGGGATCATGCGATGCTAGGCAACATTAGCATAACTCTCAAAGTGTGTAACCCTCCTTTATTATGCTTTTATTTTCTTCTTGACAGATGAAGAGTTAAAAGAAGAGAATTAAAATTATAATCAATTGGATAAATATGCGCATAACTAACTTAACTATTCGAGTGAAGAATGAAGAGTGTGTGTAACTGTACCTGTTTCTCGTACGAGAAGATATCGTTCAGCAGGGCAGCGTGAAGTGTGACCAAGTCAAGACACTTGTCCAGTACTTTCCTGTCCTCGCACTGTCCGTAGGACGTGCCTCCTGGTATAACAAGAAGTTAGCCTCTAATAACTTAATAACAGGGTATTATACTGCGACTAATGGTAAGACTAGCGGGTAACACGGGTGGGAGATGATGAGGGGCTAAGAATAGTGTTCCTTTAAGTTTAACTCTCAACAATTGCCGGCTTGATTTGATTATTGTTGGATATTTGTGAACCATGCGCAATAATTCTGCAGACGTGTTGCACAATATACATAATACTGTAATAGAAAAATATTTAGAATGTAAAGCTAGTATCTAGGAGAAAGAGTTACCAACCTGCAAAAAAAACACATAGAGCGCCAGCTGAATCCTTCATTCTCAGTTCCTCAAACTCCTCAATAGAGAGGGGGAATGGTTTGCCAGCCTTCATTGCGAAAATGTGAGGAGTACAGAAGGTCACTCCTTTTCTCAGATGGTCGTCTAGCTGGTAAACGTATTCGTCGTAAGCTCTCCTGTCCAGACACGCCAGAGACTTGGCTCGCAGGTACCGTGCTAGCTTAACCTGGGTAATAGTGGACTTAGGGCCATATTCGTATGTGGTCAGGAAAACTGGGCAATATGGGCTCGTATATGGTACATGACCATTCTCGTTACGTTATGGAAATAATTAGATGGTCTTTAGCTGGTTTTCTAGTCATTAGCTATCACCAAAATAAGTGTTGGCGTAATAAATTGCTCCTATTTCCGTACTCATAGTCGGATTATTTTTAGTTCACTAGGCTATTATTATAGGTATCAGATGTTTGAATGGATTCCGGGATTCTATTTCCAAATTAAGGTAGTATAATAGGTGACGTAATTTGTACGGGTTATGAGTTGTACTGCAGAACTGCAGATGATTAGTGGTAAATCCACTTACCACTCCATGGTTGGGTTTGAAGTGTTTCAGAGGGGGCAGATCCTCAGTGTCCCCATCCACCAGTCCCAAGATGTCATCGTTCGTATCTCGTACTATCTCTATATATCTTTGCACCATCTAGTACAGTGTGATATCGTCATTACAATAGAAGGAAACTGTCTGCATTTTCACAGTAGATTGTGACGACAGGAATAGTTTAGAATAGTTTGCCCTCTACGTAAGAATTTATTCTCAGCACAATAATCAAACTTTAGGATTCTTGGAAACATTCCAGCGAATCCTCGACACAAACAGGTAAACTGACTTACAGCATGATTCCCAATAGAGTCCTCATCGTCTATAATGAATCTGTCTCGGATATCGTCTATGGTGTAAACCAGTGCCATCCACAGGACGTAGCAGAGGATGTGGTCCTTAGTACTATTCGGAGACGTCAGACTCGCTAGCATGTCAATCTGGAAAAGTTTGAGGGTTATTTATAAAATCAGGCTTCAGTATGTGTTGTACACTACAATAAGTTAAATATTTCGTGAAGGTGGACCTAGAATTTATGGAAAATATAAGTGAATTTCACGGATAACAGAATTTGCAGTGCATGAAATATGAATGAGACTAAATATGTGGAGCAGTGCAGGTCCTTCCTTAAATATTGTTAAAATCAAGAAATGAACCCAGGCATAAATCTAATCATGCATGTATTAGAAAGAAAGTCACGAAGGTTGAAAAAAAGGAGCTGTTACCTTGAGACTTCTCCAGGCAAGATGTTTCTTGGTGTTGTGTGAGGAAATAACCCCCGTATCCTCCAGCACCCTCAGAACGGACTCCATGAGGGAGGGATCGTAGTAGGAGCGGTTCATTTCCTTCCGAACTGCGTCCAGGGTCAATGGTAGTTTAAAATCGGATTCTTGTACTGTTGACTCTTCAATCCTTGTATTCTGATCTCTTAATCCTGTAAAAGGAACAAAACTTAGAATATTCCTGAGTGTAAAATCACCGTTCCTTCAATTATAATTACAGAATCTTTAATGCCATCTGCACTTGCGCTCTAACACAATTTCCCTCGGTTACTCCTATTCCCCTCTTACATGCCTGATTGATTCTCTTTCCACCGTAACAATTCGGATATACCCGATGAAAATTCTGCCGTAATTTTGCCAATCTAAACGGAGCAGATCTGAGTGACAAAGGTCGGTTCAGGCCAAGGTAGATTTTGCAGATCACTTTCAACTAAACGAGCAACTTTCGTCGAAAAAACGCAACAAGGAGAACAAATGCTAAACTTAAATTGAGTTAAAATACCCAAAAAGACAATGCTCACAATGTATTAATTTGTGAAACGTGAATTTAGAGCTTAACGCATTCGTAGCGGACAATGTCTAACAAGATGAACTCGACCAATGATCAGCTGCAGTATTACCAATCTCTAACGATTAATGTCACTGGCCTATTGTTTCAAGGCATGTATGATACGGGAATGCTACCTCAATATAAGCAATGCCCCCGTGACTTGTTTTTATTACTGTATAATCGGAATAGAGGCAGATCATGAGAAGCGAAAAATGTCATACCATTGGTTGCAGCATAGCTGGTCGACCGGGTGAGTCTTCTCTTCCTGTTGTCGCATGCTGTTGGCATCGGAACGGGCATTGTGGCAGCAAAACTAGAGCTAATCGAAGTAAACGTGTGAAATGTTTGTTGTGAACAACTGGTGTGTGGCGACAAGTGCGGATGCATTTAAGTAGTAAATTCGCGTGGAGCAATGCCGTAGGAATTTCACTCCCGATCAGATAAAGCTGTTAGGTGAGGTCAGCCTTAACGCAGGACGGATCTAATTGAGGACTGTAGAGTTGGGGGAGAGGGCATGCTAGACGGGTGATATCCTACTGAGTTGGGCTCCTTAGTCCGGTACCAGCCACGTCATGCTCCGTCAACCTCACGTGACATGCCAACTATGTGTCCTCCTCCGGACCTCGTTCGGCCCTCAAATGAGGTAATACCTGGCGAACCCATACCCATGACTTTATGAGCTCCTGGAGTTAAACGGACATCCTACGAAGCCAACCCCCTGCTGTAATGATATTTCGATTTCCAAAATATCTTGTGAACAGATATAGATTGCATATGCAGGAGGAGGTCTGGAAATCTTTGTAATTCCCGAAGAGGCTTAAACTATTTACCACAAACATTGTGTGTCCTTCGTCCGGTTAGGGCTTCTGCCCCTCCCTCCACAACGAAATTAAAATTTAAACTCTATTATTAAATGCAAAGTGAAATGGTAAACGGAATGATTTTGGGCAACTACTAATTTCACAAGATTCGTTTAGCCAGACGAAGGATCTTTCTAAGGTAGTGAGATTTGGCGAATTTGTACCCTGTCCCCATCCAGAAACAACGGCAGCGAATCAATTTCCGAAGCCTTATTTGCTATGCGACATGACCCGAGATGTGCTCGGGTGATTATTTTCACCTGGTCCGGCACCTAACCACGGTTACTGTTTGCAGCCAAACCAAACAAGCCTGGGTTCGGATTTCCTTGTGGACTGCCCACCGCATATTTGCAAATATATTGAATATCTAAAAGGTTTGGTGGTTAGTCCGTTAGCCGTAGTAGCTTCAGCCTAACTATCTGAATAAAATAGGCTGCTGATCAGAATCTAAAATTGAGTTAAGTAAGAACTGCTTGCCATTTATATACTTGCCAATAAGCGCCTTCAAGAATTTCACAAAATTTGGGATGCGTCTAAAACTTAAATTCTTCAAAGAAAATACGGTCCATCAATCTTAAAACCATTAGTGACGTGGAGAGAATATTGCAGTGATCACCTTCATATCGAGAAACACCCATAATCTTATGTACTGTCGAATTTGTTGGAAACTTAAAGACTTTAGCTTATCGATGAGTGCTAGCAGTAGCTGCTAGCAGAGCTAAATTTGCAGAAATGCCTGAAAAAAGAGTTGCTAATTGACAGTGCAGTGCTCTGGGCGCATATTCTGGGACAAATTTAAACCAAAAAAGTATCCCACGCAGCAATTTAATCGCAACCACTTTTGCACTAACAGTTCAACAAAACTCGTATAATCCAAGCATCATCAACATCATGATCAAGCCTAGGATATTCATTAACATCAATATGTTAAACAAATTTGTTAGTTTGGACGAGACATACCGGCTGGACTATATTATTGAAGCTTGTCAATTCTGAGAGCTGCTGTTATTTTATTGCCAATTCCTGCTCACCCCAACAGAGATCCTCCAACTGATCTGACTAGAACATCTTAACAATCAAATAACTGAGCTGCAAATAAGGAAACTAACAATGTGATAATGACAGTAGAACCCTGCTGATAACGAAGTGAGGGAGCACAAAACCACAGTATTTCTAAACTTGGTATGTAACTTTAAATACTTGAAATATTCGAGGTTTGCCCCGTAGCCGGGGGGCTACTGAAGTTTAGACCGCATCAACCGTCACGCCTACTTGATGGCTCACTACTTATTTACTTATTTACCTAAAACACGCCACCAATTTTCCCGAGATACCACGACAGCTAGCGTGTGTTCAGGTGTATTTCAACCCCGCTCCTAGCTGTGCCGGTGATTTGGTTCAACCTGGTGTTTTGCCAACTTGCAAAAACCGCGTGATTCGATTTTTAGGACGATATTGGGAGTATGAATTATGAAAACTGAAAATATTGAAATTTGTCATTAGATCTTAACGTGAACTTGTGGTAAATTGCTTGTTTACGACTCTAACGGCATAAAACTTGTATTTTACGGCATTTTCTCTGTTGCAGTCTTACATACCTACCTGCCAAAGTTTATTGCATTTTGGGATCGTGTAAAGCTCAATTCAAACTGTCATCGCATTAAAAAACTTAATCAAAGGTGGAAATCAAAGTAATGAACTGAGGAATATCGCCTCCCTCTCTAATGAAATGAATCAATTTTGGAGGGTTTTAGGCTTTGGCGACCGACCATTTTAAAGAAAATTAATTATATTAGCTTGTATGACAACATTTGCGTGATCTGACAGCAGCTGTTTCGCTACAACGTCACATAACGACGTCAAGACCTTACAATTGCTGGCTTGCACAATGTCTCAAAACTTCAAGCCCTATACCTACTCTCCAGGATTTTCAATAAAGCTGGCCATGTAACCACAAGACTTACCCGATAGAAAATGCAAAGGATTGCGAAAGTTTGGATTAGAAACTGCAATTAAAAGCTCCATCGCTCAATCAAACCAATCAGGTGGAAATACAAAATAGAGAAATATGTCTTCCCTTCTTAATGAAATTAATCAACTTTTAGGAGGTTCTGGTATTTTGGGTCCCTATCATGTGGGGAAGTGGATATCAACCTCCAGTGATCTTCACAGCTTCTTGACATAAAATTTAATTGGTGAAAATTAATCAGTTGACTGATTGACGCCATAATGGACCCTTTTAGCTTTTTGAACAAAAATTACTGTTCCTCTATCAATGTCTTTATTAAAGTTAAATTGGAAACGTCATCGATTGGAATGGTTTTTCGAATATGGCATCTGACGTTGGAACCATTTTTATTAAATCAGGCATTTATTTAATTTTAATCCGTGGTTTGATATCAATAGATCAGAGGTTGCAATTCGGATTTAATGACCAGATAGGAGTTAGTATCGGTTAATTGTGACGTGGGCTGGCATGGGTTGGTCTATAACTTACCCGTCATTTATGTATTAATTATAATTAATGACTTAATATTATCAGCAATGTCAACAATTTTTAATTTCGTCAAAAATGCAGCTGCTTCCTAATTAAATGTTCCTGATACAGTGCCAGTTCTGCAGCATTCCCAACATTCTATTTTTATCTAGATGAATCACCCGTTAGTTTCGTCACTAACCAATAACTTGCCAGTCCCCTAATATAGTTCTACTGAAAATAGTGCCAGGCTGTCTAGAGTGCGGGGATCTTGTTACGTCACTATAATGTTCCAGTACCAGCCTACTTTTATAGAGCTAGGGGAGTTGTCGAATTCAATTGTTCCTTATAAGGAGATAGTGGGGTCCCGCAGGACCGAAGGGCTCAAAACCCCGGTCAATGATCGCGCGGAAGTGCATTATATCACAGTGATACATATCACATTAGGGACACACCTGATTCTGATCATTGGGGCAAGGGATAGGGGGGGACTAGCTAGACAGAGCCCCACCAGGGGTAGGAAATGGGTCCCAGCCATACTGGTTAGATGTTGAACAAGGCGCAAGGTAGGGCTACATACCGACCTGCCCTAAATTAAAAGCAATTGTTACTTCCTTCTCCTTTAAATCAGACTGAGAGTGAGACATTGCCCCGATCTGGTGTGTAAGTCATTGCTTCCGTACTCAATCATTGCCCCAATCAGTAACATATCGCTCCGTGCTCAATGAAGGCGAAGCTCAATTGCCACATAATGATTATTAATCAGCTCATGAATAGCCAGCTAAAATTGCAGCTGTGAATGAACTGTGGGATGTGTGAGAGAATGTGTTTTATATAATAGGACATTTGAACAATGCTGCTCCCGCTCAATCTTTAAATAAAAGAGAAACCAGAGAAAGGACTGAATGAGAAACCAGATAAAATGAATGATGCACGATTTGCAGCTTATTCAGTCACTAAAGATCTACAAACGGTTCGAAAAAAACAAGTCGGATCAGAAAAATGAACTGACCTCACCCTGAGATTATTCTTTATATGTATGTAGATTGTAGACTGTATGACTATGACATATTGGCGACTGTGTTAACCGACTGGTTTATACCAATACTCCCACTCGTGTGGTCTAGTCAGCAAGTAGGTGCAATACGGCTCTTAATTTAGCCTACTCTTGATCACTTCCTTTGCAAAACAATGCACATTCCGATCCAATATATGAACATGGGCCTGGGCTCTGTGCAATGTGAGGCTACAGCTCATCAATTAATTATATCCTAATTTATTGTTAAAACGAAGCCTTCCTGTGTGGGCGGGATTAATATTGTGAACCAATTGCATACCTCCCGGGTATGCTAATGTTTTGTGATCTCCAGGAAATGGGGTAGACAACATATCGGATATCTTGAAAACCTCCCCCTCTCCCGGGATATTGAGCTCCTGGGTACAGATATACTGGGTATTGGGTACCTACTACAGATCTGCAGGTAACGTTTTTACAGCTCGGCTACTGACCAACTGTAACAAACAAACAAGTCCCTGTTCGTACCCATGTAGAGAAACCTTTCTCAAAATCTCTGATGTGTTTACTGTTTATCTAATATAACGTGCGTGGGAAGGGAGACACTTGCTTAAATACCGATAAAGTTACCCTCCCTGAAGTAAGTACTACTACTCAGTATACCATTCTCACTCTTCTAGATCAATCTCTTCTTCGAACATGCTTGATCCATCATGAATAATGAATATATTGATGATTGAATAAGAATTACAGTCCATGAATAACTTATTTACACAACAAATATGCTGTCTCTTTGGAAAATTTAATCAGTATTACAATTCCAACAGATCATGAATTCATGGATAACTATAAGCATTGGTTCTGCTAGGGTAAACATGGCTCAAATTATCACTTCCAATATATCTGGAGAAATCTTTTGTATCATCATCCACCGTACTGTTTATTGAATACACCCCTTACGAACATTTTCTGATGTAAAGTTCCGGTTTGAGTGCCATTTAGAGTTATTATTAAGATTGAAGGAGAACCGTTCCATAGTGGATACACACTACACACACACACACACACACACACACACACACACACA